TATCATTAACTACTCTCAGTGTCAATAGCTTCCTTTTAGCTTGTTGGAACAGATTAGCAACCATTTTTACTCTAGTTTCTTGATCAACATCATAAAATACAAGTTAAAACTGACACTTTATCTGTCAAATTTGTCAAATTTGTCAAAAAAAAAAGCTGGCAAAACTTTAGTAAGGCTCCCCTGGAAATGCTTTTGTCTATTGTTTTGTAAGTTTTTGTGGACTTTAAAAAGTTAAAGCCCAGGTGCTTTTACTGCTTAAATGCATTGGAGCAAGAGTTTGATGTAGAATGTCATGATAAACAGACATCCAACAGAGCTGCCTCATCTTTGTTTGATATTCTGAATTGGGAGCTTAGTTATTCTTTTAACGAATAAATGGCTCTCGACATCCACCAAGGTTGGTGCATAACACCTGGTGGCTGAATCTTAAATTTTTTCTCTTTATCTCCACCAAGGAATATTATTGAAAGTTCAATTAATTCACAGTAGTCATCTATGCTATTTCTTTAGTCAAATCAAATCGGCTGAATTCTAGCAGCCTATCAATTTCTGAAACATCTAAACAAGATAAATTTTCTGTACAGATTTGTGTTTTTTTAACATCAACATTTTTTCAGTTTTCGGAACTTTTTAAACTACAGAACTTTTTAAACTAACACATCTGGGCTTGTTGTTACTTGGCTGATTTTTGCTTCTAATACACTTTATAATACTAGTTCATAGACGTGATGACAAATCACGTCTATGAACTAAAAGTCTATGAATTTGGCATTAACGCAATGACACTTGTTGGGCATTTAATTTCAATAAAACCTTTACTATGGCAACTGCATTCAATTTTAAGATCTTGTGCTGCTCTTATAAAATCCAAATTCTCATGTATAAGTATACCAGGTGGAAATGATTTGAAATTTTTATGAAGGCCTTGATTGTCAAACTCATACCTTTTATTGCATGGTACTTAAAGCTCAAGCCATACTTCATAGAAATGTTTGAGTTGGTTGACTATACCCCATCTTCTAGTAGTGATGCACTCTCACCTTTTGTAGAAAAATCTTTTAAAATTTGAAGCAGTTAATCTTCTTTTTCGATTAATTTTCCTTTTTATTGTATTTTTTTAGATTATCTTAGTACCATTCACTTATTAAAGATCTATTTATTTTGGATAAAGTATTAAGATACCTTGCAGCTAAAATCTCATCTGAGTCTTCTACTCTCTTGTTTCTCAGTATGAGAAATTTAACCAATGCTGTGTGGCTCCACAACTTGACCTCATTCAAAATAAGCTTATTTAACTCCAATAAAGCCATAATGTTTTAAATTTGATAAACTATTTATAAAGCCATTTTTAGAAAAAAATCAGTATATTTTAAATATTTTGCCCTAGTTTTAAAAACAAATTTTCAAAAATTGCTAAATTGTTATAAGGTATCTTAATAACTAATTTGTTTATCTTATCATTTATTTCCACTTTTGTATTCTTTTCATCTATTTTTTCATGTAAAAATGCAAGGAAAAATATTTCTCGCCTTTTAAAATTAATTTCTAGTATTGTATACTACTCAATAAATTTTTAGCAAAAAATAACAATATATATAAATAAAAAATAGTAATAACATGATAAATAAAAATAACAAATAATAACATGACAAATGAAAATAACAAATGATAACATGACAAATACAAAGTTAAATACTGCTCAAAATGTAGAAAAACATAAAAAAATAGTTGCTTCAAAACATACAAATGTTTATATAAACCCATTGTTATTTAAGTGGGAGTTAGAAATTTCATGGAATTAGAAAATAAAAAAATGCATCCTCTGTGTAGTTAAGGCAGTTTTAAATTATTATAGCCTCTGTATGATACTTTGTTGACTATGACATATTTCTGTTAAATGATCAGGTCTGTGAATTATAAAAAGACGAAAAAAATTAAAATGATAAATTTTGCAGTATCATAAAATATAAATGTTTATAGCAAAAAAACCCAAACCGAAGACTCTTTTTTTTAAAAAAAAATCTTCCTAAAATCCCAATCGCTTATCCAAATTTGAATAAGATTTTAAATAAATATGTATTTAAGGTAAAATGAACATCATAGTTTAATTGTATGATCTGTTCTGATTGTTTATTGGCGCCTTTTTTTTAAAATTATAAGCTCTTTCTTAGTCAGAATTCTAGTATTTTTTGTGAAAATTGATAGAAATATTGTATTTTGACAAATATATAGTTTATATATGATGGAACCGATTAGAACCAATTAGTAAATTAAGGCACTTTTTCAAAAGATTTTTACTAAATTCATGTTAACGCCAATGAGCGAAAGTGATCTAAAGAATCCAAAATGGTGTTCTTTAGATTCATATTTAGGGGTAGTAAAAAAATTTCAAAAATTATATAAAAAAAAAGAAAAGTTTTTTCAAATATTAAAAAAAAAACCTAATGCAAAAAAAGTATAACATCTATAGATTTTGTTTGGACATAATAGGCTTCTAAAATCATGCTAATTTCAAATAAAAGATTTTGAATAATTTGTAAATTGCCTTAACTACACCAAGTGGCTAAAAAAGGCTAACTAATCTATTAAATTTTAACATAAAAAATTATATCATGTTATTAAAATTGAATTAAATAATGAAAAAAATTTTACTCAACTTAATTATAATAATTGTTTTAAATTAAAATTTATTTTAAAGTTAAATTACCATTTTTAAAGTAGTATGCTGCTGTTGAAGAATGCATTCTGACACTTTGAGTTTTTAAAACATTTTTTTTATTTCTTGCATGAAACAACAAATCCCAAGCAACATATCCTGTTGTTTGCTTATTATAAGTAGCATAAACTTGCCAGATTATCTAAAGTATATAATTGCATAAATATAAATCTGGAAGAAAATATATTGCACTATTCATACAATATTTAGTGCAGTATTTTTAAAAGTAAATTAATAAATTATTTTAAATGTAAATTATTCTTTTATTTAAATTTTAAATGTAAAATACTTAATCATTGAATTTAATTTACATTTTATTATTACTTATATTTATAGACAAATATATATTTATCAGTATACAATACTGTTTTTCATAAACATCCTTAACATTTTTCATAAACATCCATAACAATAAGTCTAACATAACAAAATCTAGTATAATAAAATAAAATGAGTACTTATATAAATATATAAAATCAATTATTAAAAAAATGTGTTTTGCTAACTCAATTCATTTAGGATGAAATAAAAACCTTTGCTGAAAAAAAACTCCCATATTTGCGCTCGAATATAATTTGTCCATTTAAAGGTGAATCCTCTTTATCCTCAGCAAGTAAGCTAGTAGAAAGATTTGAATTGATTTCAAAAACACCATTTGGATAGTCACTGTTTTGAATATTTACTTTTAAAGTTTTGTTCATTCCAAGTTGTGCATTTGCTTAATTAAAAAAATAATTCTTTTTAAAAAAGAAATATCATTTTTTTATTTAATAAATTATATAAATTTATATACAAAATACAAGAAACCTTTCAATTAAAGAAAAAAAAAACATAATATACCCCCTGTAACACCTAAAAGCTGAACAATAAAACTCTCTTCCAACTCGGGTATATTATCGTCTATGACAAAAATACTGATTGTATTTTCCTTTTGGCCATTCTCAAAAAATAATGTCCCACTTGAGTTTCCTAAATCCAACTCTAAAAACAAATCTGTGCTTACTTTTTCAGTACTCCAATGAACAGTTACATTTTTGAATAAACCCATCTGACGAATAACTCTAAAATAATCAATAATAATAATAACATTAAATATAATAATAATCATTATAATAAACAACATTATAATTATTAAGAAATCATATCATATAACAGTAAAATTTATTTACAAATAGTTTAAGGACAAAAAACATCATTTTCAAATATATAAAAACATATATGGGTTACTATTATTAATGTTTGTCATGTGTGAATATCAATTAAAGGTATCATTCTATCAATTAAATATCGTATAATATTCTATACCATTCATGAACGACAACATTTACTGATATGGTTTTTCTTTCAGTTATGCAAGCAATTAATTCACCATCAAACATATATATATATATATATATATATATATATATATATATATATATATATATATATATATATATATATATATATATATATATATATATATATATATATATATATATATATATATGCAATGCCACTTAGACAATAAAATAGTCTCAAGTGACAAAATGCTAAAAAAATTTGTTAGTCTTCCTTTCTTTTCCTCATTCAATATAGATATTTTTTAACTTAGAAAAATTCTTTTCTGGGTATTTATTCTTGATTCTCACTTAACAATCTACAATCTGTTTTTAGAATTAATATTCCATTGTCTACCTAACTAGGCTGCTCTGCTGGCTACCTGTATGCAATCATTTTTGCAAAAACAAATAATTCATAATTTTATATATTATTATTATATTTAATATTATATTAAATTATAAAATAATAAAAAAACATAATAGTAAAAGATATTTAAAAACACAAAGTTTAACAATATTTTTCAAGCTTTTTTTTAAATTAATTTATAGTTCTAATATATATTCAAGAATAGTTCAAACGCAACCACATATAAAGTTCAAACGCCACTACATATGAAGTTCGAACCTCACCACATATGAAGTTCAAATGCCACCAAATATGAAGTTCACCCAATGCTAGTAGCACCACTAGTAGCACACTCACCTTGTTTCTTATTTTCCAAGGTTCATTTTTCATAGTCATGTGGTAAAAAAAAGGTTGTCAATAACAAATCATCATTCAGCAATTTCAAGGTAAAAACAGACCTATCAACCATTACTACAACATATATGCATTAACATTGATCTCTAAAAGTAGAAAGCCAAATTAAATCATTTAAGCTTTCATTTATTAAGTTTTAGTGGTTTTTTAAAATATAATACTTGTAAATACATTAATTTTATTCTGTATAATTATTTGTGTTCAGTTTTAATTTTTATTTATTTTATCATTTAAAACTATTACTTAAAAATATTTTTCATTTTTACTGAAAAAATTTTTCTTTAAAGGAGAAAGTAAGAAAATTTTAAAATATGAAAGTTTTTGTAAAATTAAGAACATTAATTATACTGATTTTACAAAAAAATATTTTTTACATAAGTAACTGAAATATGGAATACTATAGTCGTACATTTTTTTAAATAGTATTGAAGAGTGTTTTGGAAATTTTTTAAGATATATAAGATGGTAACAGGAATGTGACAGTGTTCTGAAGAATACTTTTGTAAAATTGTGATAGAAACGTTATCTAGAGCTGTAGAAGAGTTTAAGTAAGGAACTTTACCAACAAAAGCCTAGATTGTCTAACAATAGATCAAACTGCTTCTTTGTGATGACAGGAAGAAAATGTGGTCATTAGATTCAAGAAAAACGTTAGAGAATAGATTCTTTGTAAATAGTTCTGCCTTACCCATGGAAGAAATGGTAAGATTAGATCTATGGATGAGAAATGTTGTAACATTAGATTTGTCTTTATTAATGACATTGTTGAAGATTTTTCAAATGTCTTTAGAACTTCTGAGATAAAAAATTAAATTTAGCAATCTGAAAATAATGGTCCTAAGTGCAAACAAAATTGATTTTTGTTTTTTGAAGTTTTTTTTCTAGAGAGAATAAACATCTTTTTATTATTTGCAACTTGTAAAAAAGATGAAAAAAATAAAACTAATTCAATAAAATTGATTAAAAATAGCAGCTGCACAAGAAGGAGAATAGGGTAGAAGGGGGAAGGACTTTTTTTTTATTGTGGTTATTAAGACAATTCAAGAAGTCTTTATGGTCCTATAACAGAAGCACCACTGAAGACCATTTAACTAGGAGGGTCACTTCTCCTTTATTACCAGTGTCACTTATCTAGCCAGACACAGGCATTGAACCTTGAACCTCTTGGTTCTGAGCCAGAACTTAAACCACTGCACCACAAGTGGTTACTTAAAACTTAAAAATTTAAAACCAATAAAAAGGAATAAAAACTAATATAAACTATGTTTGACTATATCCAGGATTTTTATTTTTTTGCCACAATTTTAGTAGAGAGACATAAGACATCACCTCAAGAACCATCAAAAAGAAAATTACAAATGAACCCAGTCAGTCAGTCTTACAGTACAGCCAGTCAGTCTTAAAGTAGTAGTAAGAAGTGCAATGAGCAAATCTGGTGTAAAAGAAGTATTAGATAAAAGTCATAATTTGAACCACCTAAAGGAGATTAAAGAGAAACAGAGCACAAGCTAGTTTCAGATATAAATCAAGAAGTGAAGTGATTAGAATGGTTAGAAAAATGAATCAAAAAGTTAAATATCTGAGTAAAAGATTGATAAATGCAGAAGTTATGGGCTATAGAGCCACATAGGTTAGTCACCAATAATAAGAATACCAGGTGAGGGATAAAGAGCTTGGTCATTTTGATCAGAGACAACATGGAAAAGAGTCTTGAAAGAAGAAGAGTAATAAAGAGCAAAACCAATGTGAATGTGACCAATGTAAATGTGACCAATGTGAATGTGACCAATGTGACAAAAAAATGTGACCAATGTGACAAAATGTGACCAATGTGAATGTGACCAATGTGACAAAATGTGACCAATGTGACAAAAAAAAAAGAGTGAAAGCAGATAAAAGAATAGTCAGAGGATTTAAATCTGATTTTGAAACAAATAAGAGATTTGTTCGGAATCTTTGTCAAATGATTATAACTATCTTAGTCAAAGGATTATATAACCCTCGTCTAAAGATGAAACAGATAGTTTCAATTCAACAAATAGTAATAAAATGCAGTAATAAACATATAATATTATAAATTCATAAAATAACAAAAAAAAATTTCACCAAGGATAAGGGGGCCACTGCAGTATAGAAAGCTTTATTTTTTTATTTATAAATTTTTTTATTACAATTACATGCCTTTCTCTACTCTTAAACTTCAAAACACTGCAGTCAAGGAGGCTTCATTTTTTATTAATATTATTATTTTTTAATTAAGATTACATGCCTTTCTCTACACTTCAAAACACAAATTTTGACAAACAAGGCCATTGTACAGAGAAGTAAGTTGAGCTTGGAACTACTAGAGACGTGGTAGGAACCAAATATGAAACATTTGGTTACAAAGCCAAGGTTCTACCATTACAACAATTCCGCATATAAAACAATAATTTTATTCTTTTATGAATAATATTTATTATGATAATAGTCTTACTGTATAATATAATTTTTAGGAGGATTTTAGACTGATTTATTTTTATGTTGGAATTTTCTACTGAATGATGAAACAGCTTCATATGATGAACTATTGTTGCCACAAAGTAAGGTGATTTGTTGCACTAGCCATAGGTTTTATAAAAACTAGGTATTACATTGCGGTGCATAAATTATATGATATAGTTGTTAAGTCCAAGGATTTTGACAATGCCTACTTAAACTCACATTGTGACAAAAAATTTCAAATCTGCAGCCAGTGCAGCACTTTTGTCCCAATTTTTTTTGATTTTGAGTTGTTTGTAAGAAATAAATGAGTTGCCTCTAAAGCTGCAGTGCCCTATTATTTTGTTTTGACCCTATTGTTATTAGTTTTTTTGCAATTTTCTTGGAAACCTAGAAACCAATCTTCCAGGATAACATCCCATTTTGAGAACTACTAATGGAACTACTTAAATAATATTATTACCTTATATTTACGATTTTCCCTTCTTCAGTGTAAATTGGATTTATATCACTGAAGCAAAATACCCCATATGGATCATCATTTTCTAAAATTGTGACTTCACTAGAAAAGTTTAAGTATAATACAGTATCACCAGTAGTGGAAGCAAGAAAGAATATACACGTTTCATTCAACTCTGGAACGCCATCTGTTATTGCTTGTAGTGTAATAGATTTTTCTGTCTCAAAAGGCAAAAATGTTATGGTTTTTTTTATAGGAGAAAAATCATTTTCTGACGCATTTATAAAGTTTATTTTTATACCAACATATACAGCTTCAGAAAACATTTTACTAAGGTGAATGCTTAAATTTGTATTGCTTCCTTCGATCAGGTTGATTGTAGAAGGTGTAACTGTAACGGGAAAATCATTTGCAGGAACCTTCAAAACTGCCTGTAATGGATGTTTAATAGTAGCTCCGCCTTTAACACTTTCTATTATAACAAAAAATGTTTCATCTTCTTCTGGTTCCTAAAAGAAATTTAAAGTTCTTTAAATTAATAAAGATTCTTAAAAAATTTTATAATGGTGAAGATATTATCAATTCATAATATTATATAACTGAATAAAACTAAACTAACAAAAAATTTTCTTAAAATATCTCAAAAAATATATTCAAAAATATCTCTTAAAATATCTCTTAAAATATATCATGATATTTTTATTTATTTTTCTAAGATTATTGTTTATTATGATATTTTATTTATTTTTTTTATTTTATTGTTTTTGGTTCCATAGATTGAATTTTCTTATTTAAATATAATATTGAAAAACCAAAGTATTTTTTTACATTCGGATGCCTTTTCCGGCATTAAATTATTTAAAAGTGTGAAGTTGGTGCATGCAATAGACTGCTTTTTCTGCCTAACAATCAATCTCTCTCTGTATATTAGGATGGGGTGAAAAAGTAAATTATTATTAGATGAAAAACTAGTTTTTGGGGCAACTGAACATGGCAAACAATCCTATAACAAAAAAATATATGCGCAAGATATAAGTGCCCCACTTTTTTATAGTTATATATATATATATATATATATATATATATATATATATATATATATATATATATATATATATATATATATATATATATATATATATATATATATATATATATATATATATATATATATATATATATATATATATATATAATTTTAACACTTAACCGGGGTAAAACTCAATATGTATATAGTTATATAAAGAAAATGTAAGCTTCAAAAACAGAAAATTTGCTTATATTTTAATTAATTACAAATGTTTCTCTGTACCAAATGAAGGAAGTATGGTTCTTGACAAAATTCTCCATCTATCTCTTTTAATCTAATAATAGCAATTAACACTTTGTGTGTGTGTTTTGGGTAAACTTTAATTGTTAGAGTTACATAAATGACTGACTCTGTTCAGTAGTTTGGGACATAAGTTATGGTTATGTGATTTGAAAAATGTTTATGATTATTGCCATCTTAAGAACATTCAATTTTTGTGAGAAAAGTCAATTTTTGAAGAGTTGGTTTCTTAATTTGAGAACAATATTTGTAGCATTACCACACTTATTTTTGTCAAGGTCAGACATTGTTGATAAAAAAAATTTTCAGGATAAGCAAAGTACACATTCCTTAAATGTAAAGTTTGAAAAATTTAAACAACTTTTAAAGATAAATGTATCAATAACTATAAAGCCATTATATCAAAGTTCAAATTTTAATAGTCAATAATATTGTAGCAGAGAAGAACAATGGATTGAGTAATTAACATTAGGCTTTAGTTCGGTTACATTTTCTACTCTTATACATATACATGTACTGCTAATCTTTAATAAAATTCAGAAGTGCTACTTTTGATAATATAGATAATTCACTTTCACCTATAATAAATTAAAGTTTTACAAAAGTCAATTCTTTGTCTATCTGAGCGACTTTACCAATTGGTCCTTTAAAGAACCAACTGGTAAAGTCATTCAGATATATGAATTCTGCCTGATGTTGAACCATAGTTATCTAAAGAAATATCTTGATATTAGTTTATTTATTTACAGTAGAAAAACAATTGTAGCAGACCTCTTAATGCTTTCTCAAAGTACTGTATTACTCTGCCCTTAGAACCTGTGTTTAGATTGGTGCTATCATAACTGACAACTTGTATATTGAATATTGTATATTGTATAAAATATGCAATCTGCAATGTCTTTAGTTTTACTAGATTTTGGTAAAACATGATATTTGTTTCCAAGTTCTGCAACCAGAATGTCAAGCATTTCTTTCTTAGTATTCCCATACTAATTATGTGTTTTTTTTCTCTTTCTGGTTAATCATTATTTCTGCTATTAAAATACAGTGAAAAAATCTTATTAGTACATGTATTATCATTTTTTTTAAACTATTTATTTAATTTTATCCTCCCTTTTCTATATTTATTTTTATCAATTACTTTACTTTGGTCTGCATTAGTCACAATACCAAAATTCATCAATATAGCTGTGGTGTGAGGCTACAACACTATTTAGTATGCCATTCCAATTAGCCTCTCTTTTTTTTTTTTTTTCTGATTTACTCCTAACAAGGCTGCAAGCAACAACTCTTGAGTTGGGAGTAACTAGAAAACAAAAAATAGAGTTAAAATAAAGTTTAAAGAATTGACTTGAAAAGTCGTAGGTTTTATGAGTAAGGAAAACATGAAGAGGGAAAAGAGTTGTAAAGGGTTGAAGTGCGGGGAAAAGAACTAGACAAATAAAAGTTTTCGAACATGGAAGGACAGATACAGCAAAACAATGATACTTTGCTGAATGACAAATCAAGCAAGAATGAGTTTTTGTTGGTGAAACTAGAGATGATGGTTCCTATGAGCAGTGACCATGATAATAACAGCAATAGTATTTGCAGAAAAGAGAAAGGAGACACGACCTTACAATGATGGTAGAGAGGCACAAGCTTGGTAGTTAGAGTAGGTCTAACTACGTTTACAACATGTTTTTGGACCTTGTCTTGAAGAAAAAGAGCATCATTAAGAGAACCAGCTCAAATAAGACAACAGTATTCCATATGGGGGGTGTAAGAGATCTAATTTGAGATTAGCTGTCTGTTCTAAGTGATTAAAAAGAGAAGACTTTTTGTCAAGACAGAAGTGTAAGTTGAGTCATTAGCAAACAGATCCATTTTAGATTTAAAGTTTTCAGATAGATCATTAATGCAGATACCAAATAGAACCGAAAATATAACCTTAAGGTACACAAGAAATTACTGGAAATAAAGAAGAGTGTTAATCTTCGAGGAACAAAAAATGACAAAATAACCCCTAATAATAAAATTTTCCCATCATATGAAGCAGGCTTACGGAGGACTAACATGCTAAACATCATCAAAAGTTTTAGATATGTCAAGAGCAATAGCCCTACACTTGCCACCTTCATACAAAGCACAACAATATCTCTCAACAATTAGCATGCCAGCAGTAGAGTAAGAAGATAGAAAACCATATTGATTGCTTGACAGTAAGTTATTTGACTCAAGATGAGATGTCAGAAATTTGTTGATCATATACTTAAAGACATTGCAAATAATATAAAAATAAATGTAAATAGAAGACTGAGGAGGTGTCTGAAGAGGTAAAGACTGAGGAGGTGTCTGAAGAGGTAAAGACTGACAGTTGGAGGAAATCTTGCTGTATAATATTCATTTAACAAATATTCATAAAACTTCATTTGCTGAAAATACCCTGATCTATTTTCTATTTTTATAACTTGAATAGCCTATATGAGTGACACCATCCAAATAAATCATAATTTATCATTATAAATAATTTTATGCTTATAACTACCATTATAATATTTATTTATTTTTTCTTTGTATTTATTGTGAGCATACTTATTATTACTTTTACTATAATTTGTATAAATTTATTTATTTATATTATTATATACTATTTATATTTTATTATATACTATTGTTATTATTATTATTATTATTGTTATTACTATTATTTTTATTATTATCAATATTATTGTAAAAATGATTTATGGAAAATAAATAGCTTATTTTTGTTGTTGCTGTTGTAGCTTTTTTAAAACTATTTTTTAAAGCAACTTTTGAATTTGTTGTCATATTTGATCATCATTCTCAGTTTCATATGGTTATTCATGACCACATGATTATTCTTTGTCTAAATTGTCTACTTTCAGGTATAGTCAAACAAGCATTGTAGTGGTACAATTAATTGGACAATAAAAGGTTGTGCTACAATTAATTAGACAAACAACTTTTGTTATGCCTAATAAATATGCATGTAAGATTCACGAAGCAATTGAGATATACAGTGTTTACAATGCTCAAAGTTGCAGGATAAAGTCTTAAATTGCAAAAATGGTAATTTAGTAATGACACGCCATTGGAGACCACTTTTTATTAAACTTAACAAGTCTAAATCTGTTACAATGCAATGATATCATTTTTGTTTTAATGTTATGAATTTTTTTTATTTTTTTTTATTTTGATAATGGCCAATACTAATTTAGCCAAAATATCACTATTAAATAATAAAAATAATATATAAACGAACATGAGATTATTTTTTATCATATTTTATATTTATGAGACCCTTCAACATTTAAAGAATCGCTAATAAGTTGCTAATACTATAAAAATAAAAGTTTCAAATGTGTATCATGTAGACCCAACATAAAGCAAAATTTTATGAAATTTGAAAACTGAATTCAATTTAACTTGTGGTTAACCAGTGGCTTTAATTATATTTGTATTTATAAACCAACATACCACAAGGACCTTCTAAACCAACAATATATATATATATATTTTTTAAACATCTTCGCTTCCAACAAGGCTGCTAGCAACCACAAATTAGTGTTGGAAGTTACTGGAAGAGAAAAGATGAAGATTGTAGAGCAAGATAACGATTGACAGACAACTTAAAAGATTGCAAACTATATGAATCAAGAAAGCAAGATGAAGGAAGTGAATTCCAAAGAACTGATGTTCGAGGAAAAAAACTAGATGAGTTTTTGGAGCACTTAGGAACAGTAACAGAAAAAGTATGAAACTTAATTGAATGATGAGTAACACAAGAGTGAATTTTAGTAGATGGCACAAGAGACGCTAGCTCTTTAGAGCAGTGCCCATTATAGTATTTGTAGAAAAGGGAAAGAGACGCAACATTACCGCGATGTGATAATGGTTGAAGGTTGGCTGCAAGAGCAGGTCCAACTATGTTTACAATGCATTTTTGCACCTTGTCTAAAAGAGAAAGAGCATCATTAGAAGATCCGCCCTAGATATGGAAACAGTATTCCATACAAGGCCGGATTTAATATTCATAGAGAAAGAATAGAATCCAGAGTAAGAAAATGTCTAGCTCGATAAAGAGATGCAACTTTAGCAGATGTTAATTTTGCAACAGATTTAATATAAGGTTTCCAAGAAAGATCAGAAGTAAGAGTTAATCCTAGAAGATGAAGGGTAGATGTACATCGAGTACATTATCGTTCATAAATATAGGAAGGTCTAAATTATTGCGATAACGATTGGCTGAAGAAAATTGAGTTTTATCTTAGTTAAAGTTCACCAGCCACTGTGAGCCCCATGCTATAGCAAAAGTGAGATCCTTTTCAAGCTCGAATGGTCCCTGCAAGCAATCAGAGGGGGTTAGCTTCTTATTGTGACAAGAATAAATGGTAGTATCATCAGCGAACAATGCCACCTTAGATGTGAGAATATCTGGGAGATTGTTAATGTAAATTAAAAAGAGTATAGGGCCAAGGATTGAACCTTGAGGAACCCCTGAGGTTACAGAATAAGAAGAGTGCTGTCCATCAAGGACAACTTTTATACTACGAATGGAAAGGAATGATTCAATAACTTTAAGGATGTTTCCAGATACACTGTAAGTTGATAGCTTATGGAGTAGACCAGCGTGCCAAACTTTATCAAACGCTTTAGAAATGTCAAGAGCGATGGCCTTAAACTCTCCACCGATATCTAATGCATGATAGAACCTATTGATTATTACTGTTAGCAAATCAGCCGTAGAACAAGAAGATTGAAATTCATATTGATGATCAGAAAGTAAGTTATTAGATTCAAGATGAGAGATTAAGTGTTTGTTAATTAAAGATTCAAAAACCTTGCTTATGATAGGAAGAAGACTAATGGGACGGTAGTTAAATCCGACAAATCGGATCGCTCTCCGAAAAGGATATACTATATACATACCACAAAGGTTAAACACTAAGTTAATAAAATACATAACTTAAAAGTAAAAGTAAAAAAAAAAATTTAACCTCATCCATCTGTATAAAAATAGTAATAGAAGCAGAATCTTTTCCTTCTTCTATTGTCAAAACACCAGACACAGGTAAGATATCTTTTTCTGCTGACATTGTATTATTTATGTTATTTACTTCATATACTATCCACGTGACTTGCAACTTTCCAAACAAACCTTTATTTCTCATCACAAGAAAAGAAACTGGAACAGACTGAATTTTATTTTCACCTAATAACAAAATAATTATCCAATACAATAATAATAACAATATTAAATTATCTAATAAATATAAACTTATGCTATACTATTATTATAATAGAATTGTTTTCACATTTTTCTTTAAATAATAAAAAAATAATTCAGAATTCACAAATTCTAACTGAGGTGTTTAATTCACATGTTATGAACAATTTTCAAAAAAAAATTTGTATCAAACAGTAATATTCTAAATTTATTTTAAAATTTTTTATATCGAAATAGAATTATTCCAACAAAAATAAAAACAGAATTATGACAACTCTCAAACTTGATAGAATGGTTGTGTTTAAAATTTAGATATATGTTGTAAATTTCAATTTGAAATGATCTGAGTCTTAATTAGAACTAGATGGGTAAAATCTTTACACTCAGACCTTTTACACTCAGACCTTTACACTCAGACCTTTACACTCAGACCTTTACACTCAGACCTTTTACACTCGGACTCAAAGTATGAACAGGAACTTGCATAAATGGGTATATATGTTTATTTACATACATAAAATACATATTACTAATATAATACTTTAAGTATAACAATAAAAATAATACAATATAATTGATAGTATTATACTTATATAATACATTAAAAGAAAAAAAAAAGTTAAAAAAAAATAATCTAAAAAAAATCTACACTTACAAACTTCTCTATTTATGTTTTCATAATTACTTTTAAATGAAATCAATCCATAAGGGTCATCACTAGGTAAAATGGTAATATTAAAAGTAGAGTTCATTCCAAGAACCGATCCAGATATTGAAGTTAATGTAACAGTAAATGTTTCATTGAGCTATTTTGGAAGAATAAGATGTTTGCATAACAATAATTATATTCATGTCTTTTAGAAAAAATACAATACAAAAGAAAACAAAAAAGAATTACAAAGATAATAATTAGATAGAAAAAGGTCTGGTAACAAGTACCTCTGGCAAATCATCATCCTTAGGAATCAAAAGTTGTTTTTTCATAGATATACCAACTGGAAAGGTTATTATTACTTTATATTGTTGAAAATCCATGCTACCTTAAAGTTCGTAAAAAAAAAGTTTAACTTTTTAATATTTAACATTTTTTTAGTAAGTTTCACCATTTAACAAAAAACTTTAAATATTTTATTTATAAAAATGAAGATTTTATTAATAAACATAATATAAAATTAAAATAAATTAAAAATAAACATTATATAAAATTAAAAATTACGTAATTTATAATCTTTGACAGAAAATTTATACCTAATACTACTTCAAAAAATACTTGTTGAAGCAACAACAATCCACCAGTTCTAATTATCTCAATTTCTGTAAATGAATTTTCCTAAAGCAACATTTAAAGTAACATTAATTTCCTATATGATTGAATTTAAGCTTTGAAACAATTTTGAAAATTTATAATTAAAAAAGTATAAACTATGCATATACCTAAAAGTAAAGGCATCTTCAAAAATAAATTATAATAAACAAAAAGAACAAAGAATAAAGAAGAGGTAAGTAGTACGCAAGTGGTTAGAAAATATCCCTAATTACAAAACTAGATGAGAAAACTCTAATAGAAAGTTTTTTGTTGCTTTTCAATAATAAACTTTCATAATCTTTAGTTGCCTTTACTTATATTATAACATATTATATTATAATATACATATTATATTATATTATAACATTATATTTAATTGCTATTTGTAATCTTTACCAATTTAAATATTCAGAAATATATAAAATGAAAATTTTGAAATATAATATAATATTTTGAAAGATAACATTGTAATATTTTTTAAAGTTTTTATGTTATACTTGATGCAGGTTTTCTTCATTGTTATTTTTGTCTAAATAACAGTACTGAACCAATTAATCAATAATAATAAAATATTTAATAATATCAGCATTTTAAAATTATTAAAAACAAAATTGACGATACATTATAACTTAAAATTTTTATATATTAAAATTTTTTGCACTTTTTGTTGTATTTTTTTCAGTTGTTTGTTATTGTTATCTTTTATTTATTTTTTTAGTTCATCTTTAATTGTTAATTTTTTATTTTATTTTTTAGTTCTGCCTTTGTCATTTAATATTTTTTATTTTTTTCCCCTATACATTTATAAATTAAATATTTGTAATATACAAAATGTCAGTTTTAGATGCTATTGATAATATTTAGACACAATTTATTTTATATCGACAATGGTTATTAAATCTTATACAATTCCTCCAATGTTTACAATCAAACATCGAAGCTAAATCACTAAATCCAAAAATATTTTTTAGTCAAAGATATTGTTTTTCTAAACTGAATATTTTATTAAATCTAATCTTTATTAAGTCTAGTTAAACAATACAAACAGAAAAACCAAACAAACATACATACATAAACAGCATAGTTAAAAAAAAAAAAACAGATTAAAAAATAAATTATAAGCAGTTTAAAAAATAAATTAAAAAGAAAAGTAGGATTTTTCTAATGTTATTCGATTTTTTTCTTTATTCAATGTTTTTTTTTTGTTTAGTTTCCCTGAAATTATTGAAAAAACAAGTAAAGTAATTACAGATATCAAAGGTTTATACATTTCTTAAATATATAAGTTTTAAATTCATTAGATTTTATGCTTAAAATTTTTCTTTTTAATTTTTTTTTTTTTAATATTACATATACTTTTTTATATATACACATATAAATTATTATATAAAATTTAATGATAAGATTTAATGTGACTTTGTTTTAATGTGGGAAGTTTAAATTAGAAAAAAAAATGTTATTAAAATAACAACATCGACATCAATTGATTAATTCATCTAGTATATAAACTTACACAATATCTTTTTTATATATATATACAAAAATATTTTTTTTGTATAATTTTTTATTTTTTTCTAATATTATATTTAAACCTGAATTATTTTAATAAAATTTTCATTATATCAACATTTATGTTAAAAAAATTATCATAATTAAAAAAAATTAAAAAATCAAATAAGTTTATTTATATTTACCTCTAATAAGATTGGATCTACATTAGAGAAGCTAATTATTCCTCCAGGATCATCATTTTGAAAAATAGTTACTTGAGCCACATTCTTTGAAAAAAAAAAATATTTATATATAGCAAAATGCCTTGATAATTATTTTTGCAACATTTTATGGCATCAGTTTTGATAGTAAAATCTTAAATTATCTTACGACCTAATAATCATGCAACTTAAACACCAAACCACCTAATAATCATATAACTTAATGATAATCTTACAACTATCATTTTATTATACTTTATCATACAATTTTATAACTTATCATGCTAAAACTATGGATTTTGATGAAGATTTTATTATCTTTCCATGCAAATCTATTACTTCAAAAGAAACAACATAAAAAGTGTAAAAGAATGATTCAATTGGTTAATATTGCTGAACTTTAAACAAATAATAAAACTTTTTTAACTTCTATTTTAACTCCTCCTCTCAATCTATCATTTCTTGCTCCTACTCTAAATACATTTTTTAACTAACCATTAGTCCTAGTAATTTTCATTTATAGCTCATCCTATATATTTATCACTTAACACTGCAACTCTCAATCTATCACTTTTTGCTCCTCCTCTTAATATATCACTTACCACTCCTCATGCAAAAATACAATCTATTATTTACGGATCCTCCTCTAAATTTATCACTTACTGCTCCTCCTCTCAATCTATCACTGATACCAATGAGTTCAACTAGTTCTACAGTAAATTCTTCATCTAATTCAGGAACATTATCTGCCAATATATGAATAGTGAGATTCACTCGATCCATTCCTATAAAATTAGAAGCTATATTATTATTATAAGTAAACAAAAATTATTATTATTACTGTTATAAGTAAACTATATATATATATATATATATATATATATATATATATATATATATATATATATATATATATATATATATATATATATATATATATATATATATATATATATATATATATATATATATATATATATATAATATATATATATATATATATATATATATATATATATATATATATATATATATATATATATATATATATATATATATATATATATATATATATATATATATATATATATATATATATATATGGATACATACATATATAATCAGGATTAAATTAGATACAGCATTTTGATGAAATTGGGAATTGGTCAAAATTTTTCCCAAAAATCCCCCCCCCAACCCCTCTAATTTAAATGTGTACTGGGAATGCGTGGGGTCCTTTTTTAGTATTTTTCTTCTACTCCGCTTCAGCACTGCATACATTGATTGGAAAGCGCATAAAAAAAAAAACAAAATACTGTCTGTAACATTAATTAAAGATGAATATAAAATCAACACAAAAATAAACTTTGTTTCACAACGACATGACAAATTAAGCTCTGATTTCAATTATATATTTTTTTATTATAATTTTTATATTATAAAATAATCATAATCAGTCTATATTGTTATTAAAAATATTTTATTTCTTTTTAATCCTAATATATTGTTGCCACTTTCATGTTAAGAGTACTTTTTTTGAACATATTTTTTTTTTTTCACTGGTGGGCATTAAAAGGCGCTTTTAAAGTAATATAGTGATTTATGTTCAATAAAAATCTTTGCGGAAGAGAGCTAGTTATCTTCTACTTTTAATTATTATTAAAATTCTGTTTGCTGTCTATTTATTTTTTAGCCAAAAAGGGCAAAACTTTTTAAGAAGTAGCATTTGTGGGTTAAACCAATTAAATTTGTTAAACCAATCAAATTTGTTATTTTTTCAGATTATACTTTATTTCTAGCTGATTTTTTTAATTATTATATTCTGTTGTTGGAACGCATTGCAAAAAAAAATTTACAAACTTTGAGAAATGAATTTTACAACAAGTTGCCCAGAGAACCCCTAAAATTGCTTAGAAAATCCCAATTCTCAAAAAGTTTTTCCCAAGAGACATTTTTGCAGTTATGCAATCATGTAGTTATACCTATAACAGCAACTTTATTACAAGTTTTACACAACAAATTAGTTTTTTATGCCATTTTTCTACTAGTTCTTAATAATAATTAATTTTCAATTATTTTTTGAATTATTATTAAACTATAATTTGGCAAACTTTTTTTTGGAAAATTGGATTTTTTCAACTTTAAATTAGGAATTTTAATTTTATGAGCATTTGGGAATACCGCATTTGACGGAGCCCCACAGGGCTAGTTTACACCTTTTATACATACATCCATGCATGTATACATACATACAACATACATATATACATACATACATATATACATACATACATACATACATACATACATACATACATACATACATACATACATACATACATACATACATACATACATACATACATACATACATACATACATACATACATACATACATACATACATACATACATACATACATACATACATACATACATACATACATACATACATACATACATACATACATACATACATACATACAATTTGTTTCATGAACCTTATGCATATAATTATTAGGAGTAATAGAAAGTATTTTTGGTTTATTCCAAGTTAATTGTACCACCACAATGTTGCATGTGTTCGACTATATCTTGTGTGTCCCATTTGCTTTTCATTACCAACAAGCAATATAGCAAAAAAAAGCAGTGTCAAACCTCTCCATTAAATTATTATATAAATTGATCAAATCTTGTGTTTTAAAGCACAAAAATGTGTTTTAAATTCAGAAAAAAATGTTGATAAAGCTGAATTGTTGCAACAAAATCTAAGCAAAATAATAAACAAGTATTAAGTGCAAAAATAGCTAGCTATTTTTACACTTAATACTTCTTATAACCTCTCCTCCTTAAACTCAATATCTAGCTTTAAAATGAGCTCCAAAAGTCAAATGAAATAAAGGTATACCCTTTTGATAAAAGATATGGATTTGATATTTTAGATTCAGAATCAGCAATACAATAAATTAAAAAACAACTTAACAACTACACTACACAAAACTTCCTTTGTCTAATTCAACAAACACTCAGTAAGCTAAGAAAAGATTAAAATTTGATAAAAAAAACTTATTATAATATATATCCTTCTGATGCTGTTCCACCAAGATTATACAAATATGGATTATATGGATTTAGTGTAATAAAGCACATAAAAGTGATAAAGGTTATTGGCAAATCAGCTCATAAACTTTTGCAACATCTTGTTAAAAAAATAACAAATGCAAGTTATAAAATTCATTTTCATTTGTATCTGCGACTAAAAAATCATTAAGTTTTAATACTACCCCAATAACTAATAAAAGGTACATTGATAATAGTCATGCTCGATTTTTTAATATTGACAAGGCAAACTCTTCTTTAGATATTTTAAATTCACAAGATACAGCTATTCAGTATGAGTTTCAGTATACTTCGGCAGCGACTTCAAGACTTGAATACTATTGAATACTAAAGTTCTCAATCATCTCAAAATCTCAAAATCAATAAAATCTCAAATCTCAAAATCAATAAAATTTTGTAGATTTTGTATTTGTATGAATATAAATACAAACATCTACAAATATGAACTTTCAATATATCGTAAGCAAGCAATTACTAATATATTAATTAAACCACAATCTTTAATTTTACCTAATATAGCATTAAGTATTTTTAAAGGTTTTCTTTCAAAAGAATAAAATATGTTCAGAACAGATTATTCAGAATGAAAATGAGTTTTTTGTTAATGTGTTTTCCCAAAATGGATGCTGACAACTTTCAGATATAGATAAAAATTATAAACAATTGCATAAAAAAATCAGAAGGAAATCATACTGCTGTGGATATTGCAACTAAGCATTATATTTAAAAGTGAGTTTCATAGAGTGGGTATAAAAACCATTTTTTGCTTTGGTAACTCTTTACTTAACTTTTTTTCATAACAAATCCATGTTGCATCCACAGTTATCCAGGTTTTTTTTTTCAGTAAGATTGCATATGTGATTTGAGTTACATTAGTGAAACAAAAAAAAATGATATCTACATGCATTAATGAATATGAGAGAAAAATAACTAGAGGCAACTAGGACTCATCAGGTATAGTCAAACACATGCAACAATATGGTGGTACAATTAACTAGACTATATGCATAAGATTAACATAGCAATTGAGATACAGTGTTTCCAAAGGCTTAAGATCACGGGATCACAACAATCACAACAATCGTAATATAGTGATGACAAGTCATTAAATCTGATAGGTTGCAATGACATCATTTCTGAACTTGATAGGTTGCAATGACATCATTTTCATATTAATTTTATAAAATATGTATAACAATTTTTTCAGTTTGAAAATGACTTAAACAATATTAGCCGAAATACCACAACAAAATAGTAGAAATATTAAATGAGAAAATATGATGTAATTTTTTAACTATAAATTTTATATATTTTCCATTTAAATATAAATAATATATTATTAACGATGTCACTTAAACAATATATATATATACATATATATATATATATATATATATATATATATATATATATATATATATATATATATATATATATATATATATATATATATATATATATATATATATATATATATATATATATATATATATATATATATATATATATATATATATATATATATATGTATACACACACTTTATAAAATATATATATATATATATATACACACTTTATAAAATATATATATATATATATATATATATATATATATATATAAATACACTCTATAAAATACATATATACACTTTAATATATATATATATATATATATTTATTTATATATATATATATATATATATATATATATATATATATATATATATATATATATATATATATATATATATATATATATACTCATAATATATATATACATATATACACTTTAATATATATATATATATATATATATATATATATATATATATATATATATATATATATATATATATATATATATATTAAATAACAAAAATTTCAACATAAGGAAATTTTTTGATGAAAAGCAAAAACTACAAGTTTGATCTACTGGTATTAAGTTAAAGTATTAACCTAAAAAAACCTAATAAAAAGGTTTATTTTAATAAACTTAATTATGTAAATAAAGTTTAAAAGAACTTTAAAATTTATTACATTAAAAAAATTAATTTTAGTTATCCCTCTTTATAAAACACTTTCATAATATTACGAAAAAATATAATCTTCACTATATTTTATTCATTAAAAAAAAAATTGCGTATTATAGTAATAAATTAAACTCTGAGATTATAATAATATAAATAAATATATAATATTAGTAGTAATAAAATCAAAATACCTGATTTAAAAATAACAGAACCATTTAAAGATTCTACATCTTCTTTTGTTAACATTGGATTTGGGCTGGAAATTTTCCACAAGACTTTAGTGTTAGATGCTGTTCCATCACGCATTAATGTTAAATTGACATCAATGTAACCTTCACTTGGCTCAGAAACATAAATGTATACTGGAATATTATAAAATCCTATTTCACCATTTGCAAAGTTATTAGTAATATTAATTCTCTTTGACCTTTCTATACTTAATTGTGGTGATGATGGTGGAACAAGAGTTGACTCTAAAAATTGTAAAATTAATGGAAACCAAATTATGTAGGTTAACTGATATTAATAATAACTCTTATTAATTAATGCAATCAAAATACATTAAAAAAAAATTTATTAAATTTATATTATACAATTTTATTTATTTCTATTATTTATTTTTATTACTTGAAATCATAATGCTATCAAGCTCGACAATAAAATAAGAATCTGCACTTAAAAAAACATCATTTTTAATTTCTACAACTATAAATTGAGCTGATTGTCCAAATTTGAAAACAACAGTTCCATTTGGATTTACAATTGCTGATGAAGACATATTAATAGAACTTTTGAAAAAATAATAGCTGGAATAATAAACAGCAACATCCGCTAGTGTTCCACCTTCTCGTATTAGCTTTATGCTTAAACTTCGTGGAGTTGTAGACTGAAAAATTGTAGAAAAATGTAAATATATATATATATATATATATATATATATATATATATATATATATATATATATATATATATATATATATATATATATATACATATATATATATATATATATATATATATATATATATATATATATATATATATATATATATATATATATATATATATATATATATATATATATATATATATATATATATATTTAAAAATATATATTAAATAAATTTTTTATAAAATTTATAAAAAGTACAATATTTAAAAAAAATATAATTTATATGTGTGTGTATATATATTACACAATTTTGAATATAACAACTAAATTTATAATGACAACTTAGTTATACTTTTAAGTAACTCACTAAAAAAACAGCTGTTTCCTCTGAAGAAAATCCAAAGGTACCATAAGCATTGTCATTATCAGTAACAATTATCTGAACTGTTGGTTTAAATGCAGAGTTTTCAAACCTTGCCTCTCCAGTAACATTAACCAGCTCTAATGTAAATAATGATGCTTCTTGAGGAATATTATTCTTTGTTACTTTTATAAGAATTTTCTTAAATATTTCACCAGATAAAAATTGCAGAAAACCTGAAGTTTCTTCAAAAACAGAGTCTAAATTTGTTCCATTTATTTTCCAAAATACTGAAATGTTTCCAAAACTACCGCGAGTTCGATTGATATAAACATTAACAAATGCATCCTGATCTTCTTCAATAACAACTAAAGACTGATCAAATACTAATAGTCCATATGGGTCATCATTCTCTGGTATTTCAACAACAATCTCAGTTAAATTTCCTAAAATTCCATTTGAGGCATTAAACAAAACAACTTTAAAAGTTTCTTTTAATTCGGGAATCAGATCACTAAATATTTGAATAGAAATTTCTTTTCTAGTAATCCCACTCTCAAATACAAGCACTCCAGATATATCTAGATAATCACTTCCTGGAGTTGCAGATAAAGGAACAGTTTTATAAACCACAGAAGCATATTCGGATATTGATCCGACTCTACTCCCAAAAAGGTCCAGTCCTCTTAACACCATTACTTTTAAAATAGAACCTTCAAAACCATAGGTTTGAAAACTCTGAAATTGGATTGGTGCATCATTTTCTTTTATTCTCAGTTCAGCCTCACTTGCGTTTGTCAATATGCACCCACCTTCACTAGCACTTTTTATTGTGATTGAAAATATTTCTTCAGCTTCAGGAATCTTAAAAAAAAGGATTTAAGAAATTGTATTTTTTAGAATGGATGGATATACGAGTAAAACCATCTATAAAATATAAATTATGAATGGCTATCCTGTCCAAATATATTTTGCAAACTTACAAACATAAATGTATCAATCAAAATTAATAAAAGTATTAAAAGATTACATTATCTGGCAGCACTTCTATAACCAGAGTCTCATTTGATTGCTCCTGGATAAAATTAATAATCCCTTCTGTTGGATAGACATCTTGAGTATTTTGCAAGATCTAGAATTACACAAGCAAATAAATTATAATTTTATAAAAACAAGTCAAAAAATTTGTTCTTTACTTTTATATTTCTATATATATAAACATACTTTTTACTATAATTTATTTTTGTACAAAAAAAAGGAAGTTTAGATTTTTAATAACAAATAATAATCCAAATTTTAACTATGTAAAAAATTATGGCATTAAACAATCATACTTTGCTTGACCTATTAAATGATTTTTTTAGTGCATTGTTATCAACATATAGGAAAATCTTTTATATACTCTATAATGAGAATATAAAGAGCTTAAAACAATTATTTTTTAACTTTATATCCTGTTAAAGTGGAGGACAATTTTTTTGAAAAACCAGCTAAAAATTAAAAATTACTTTATTCAATAACCAAGTTGGTTCTAGTTCTAGATATAATATATAGCCAAAGATATATGAAACAAGAATTTTATATAATGTTAATGAAGTGTTATAGACCACATGCATCAATCATATTTTTGTTTACATCCTTATAGCCTGGTTTGTTTACAATTTATGTATTTTTTTACAACTGGTTCTCTACAGAAATGCTGTCTATATTGCATAGGTAAATAAAAACTAAAATAACTTTTTTTCAAAAAAAAATTATTTTCAAACAGGGAAAATTGAATGTCCTGATGACTTTTTTTTGAGACTCAAGGTCAGCCTAACTAAAGTCTGGATAATCTTATTAGTATACATTGAAACCATTAAAATTGTGTAATTAAATCATTACTAAGTAAGGACATTACTTGCTAAGCATGCAAAAATACAATTTTTAAGGGAAGATGACAAAAATGAATAAATGAATTGTTGTACATTCGAAGGTGCCTTAGTTATTCATGACGTTTCAGTGCATCAAGTCAAAAAACACTAATCTAGAAAAATCTTTTGGAAGAACAAGAATTACCACTCCTAAATCCAAGAATTACCACTCAAAAAATTATTTATAATAGTTATTTATCTGTGAACGATATGATGTAAAAATAAATTTTAGATGAAGCAAGAGACACTAGCTCCTCAGAGCAGCAACCATTATAGTACTTATATAAAAGAGAAAGAGAAGCAACATTGTAATGATGTGATAATGGTTAAAAGTTGGCTGCAAGAGCAGGTCCAACTATATTTACAATGTGTTTTTGCATTTTGTCTAAAATTGAAAGGGCATCATTAGATGATCCCATATAAATTTCAAAAGGTAAAAAGATAAATTTAAAACAATTGAATTTCAGTTTTAAAAAATTCAAAAGAGTAATTATTTTAATTTTTTGATTTTTTTAAGTGACATTTCTTTTTTTATATAAAGCCACTACACAAATTTCAGTTATTTGGAAATGGAGTTTTTTTTATCTACAGCACAAATTCAGCAAATCTCTGAAGTTTTATTGTAAAAAAATTTTAACCAAGTAATGGTTCTTTATATATATATATATATATATATATATATATATATATATATATATATATATATATATATATATATATATATATATATATATATATATATATATATATATATATATATATATATATATATATATATATATATATATATATATATATATATATATATATATATATATATATATATATATGTATATATATATATATATATATATATATATATATATATATATTAGGTATATGATAAATTTTAAATCAATTAGCCTGAGGTTCTAAATGATGAACTTTTGCCAATTAATCACAGAAATGACATTGATTTCACCATACCTCGAAAAAACTTCCCGCACCTAAGACAGTTTCATATTTAACCATACAACACATAGCAGCCCAAAGGCTATTAATTATAATATGTCAACTTTATATACAATACACATGAGAAATACATGAGAAATACACTGTCCTACAGCATTTGTAGTGATGTTAATAATCTTTCAGATTTGTATATTAGTATTAGTAAATTTACAGTTAAGATATTTGTTTTTTCTGCAAGAAGAACGAATGTCCCCCATCAACTTTACAGCTCTCTTGGCTACTATGTTGGTTCGAGGCACATCAAGCACTGATGGTTCCTTCTTCCAGTGGGTAGAGAAGCATTTCACAGCTTTGGAACACTTAAGTTGAGATATTGCTGACAGCAGGTCTTCATAAGCCGCCTCTGCATAGTGCTGGTTTGAAAACCAGGCCCGCGACCATGTAGTTGAAACGAAATCGCAAGAAAAATGCAAAAAGCGTAAAAATGCCTCTTGAGTTCCACCTGGCACTGTGCAGTGATGGCAGCTTGTGCCATTTGATACGAGGTCATTTTTCCTCATTTTTGAAAAACTTGTATGCTTCACAAAGCTGAAAAAGAAATTTAAAGTCATCTCTCCAGTCAAAGTTCTCATACTTTGCTACCACTGCTGTGCTCTTGTAGGCAATTTTTAAATCATTGTAATGCTCCATAATCTCATCAATAATTTTGTAGTTAATATTAGGCGACTGTGACTGTATAGGAAAAAAGAAATCCAACACATGTCATAGAACAAGATCAAGAATGTGGTGTTGGCAGCCGATGTATTGAGGTTCATTGAATCCCTTGTCTCAAAATGTTTTCTGAAGCTTGGCTACAACTCCATTCTTGCCACCAGTATTTACAGCTGTTGCGTCAGAGATGATCATCTGAATACTGTTCCATGCATTATAATCATCAAGTAGGTCCTGTAGTGATTTATATATGCTTGCAGATGATCCACTGTCACAAACCAAAATGCCAAGTTGTAATGTTCTTTTGTCATTTTTCAAGCGCACAACTTGGTACTCAGTCTTGTCAATTTTCTTACCATCAAAATGCAAAGAAAATTTCTCTTCAGAAATCAGTTCCATGAGGTGGTTCTTAACTTGTTTTGCATCTCTGATTGTTTGACGCCAGATTCCATACTGTGATGGTGTTGGGACACAAACTCTATCCTCAGCCAGACTTTGAAGCATCCGTGGCGTTTTTCTGGTTGACTAGACACTAGTTTGGCAGCAGACTTAGTTGACTGGCGTGTTGCACCCTTTCTGCGAGATTCTCCTGGAACTGCCTCCGAGTCACCACTGCAGCTTTCTTCCTCAGAATCCTCACTATCGCAGGAAAGTGGTATGGAGATAACCGCTTGGTTTGTTGAGGGTTCTGATGTGCTTTTATCCTTTTTTGATGGATGGATTGTTGACATAGGAGCCACTTTCATAGTTGTATATCCCACCCTGCAATCTGATTCAATTTGTACTTTGTACAGTTGTTTGTGCTCACTACAAAGTAAATTTCCATCTGGTTTTGTTATATCGAACAGACGAGCAAGATTTTCTTCAAATATTGCATTTGGTCGCTTTCTTTGTTTCTCAAATGATGTGATAAGTTTGTAAACATTAGCAGACACTTGTTGTTTGGAAAGAACAGGAAAATTAAACTTCTGCCAAAGATTCATCAATTCCTCTGATATTTTTGTTAGTCGATCATGTCGCCCTTTCAATTCATTAAAGAGTTCCAAGAATCTTCCAACGATATCTCTGTTGGAAGGCATTTTACACAATTTGTCGCTCATTTCCTGTTTTACCTGTGGTATATTAGGACGGCACTTCGTGCTTGATTTCAAATTTTGTGTCCATATTTCACCAGCTGCTTCCACTGCTGATTTTGACTTTTTACTTTTAAAGGACATATTTTCGATAAGAAACACTAAACAGCAGATCTTGCAAATTAATACTGCAAATAATGAAAAAACTTTTTAAATACTTCTACTCAATATTTTAATCGCACAAACATTAAAAATTATTCAACAACAAACAACAACAAACAACAACAAACGCGCATTAATTTGAAAAACAGTTGTTAAAATTTGTTATTCAAAATTGAGTTACATAACATAAAAACAATTTAAAACTATCGAACTTCTTCATTCTATGTTAATTAACTTTTTAAACTGTTTGACGCTCTCCAACTTGTAGTTATATTCAAGCATAGTCAAGAATAGTCAAGTATAAGGAAGTAAGATATGGGAAGAAAATCAAGTCAAAAATTGAAAAAAGTTAAAAGTGGTGAGGTGCTAGGTGCGGGAGGTTTTTTTGTGATCCAATGAAACAAACCTCAAAACAGTGATCTATTGGTAAAAGTTCATCAAATGCAACATCAGGAAAATTAAAATTTTGAAAAAAGTTTTTTTGTCATATACATAATATATATATATATATATATACATATATATATATATATATATATATATATATATATATATATATATATATATATATATATATATATATATATATATATATATATATATATATATATATATATATATATATATATATAAATATATATATATATATATATATAAATAAATATATAAATATATGTATATACATATATATACACATGTATACACATATATTCATATATACATACAACGGTGTACTTTCCAGTTTATTCCTAGACGCCCGCATGGCAACTGAAACAGTTTTTATTTCTAATTTGAGTCGTTTGCTATGATAGTCAGTATTCCGGTGTAAAATTATTTTTTTTTGTACTTTTTCTTGGGTGAAAATAATGAAGAAAAAAAATTTAAATGCAGGTTTAAAATTTAAACAAAGGTTTCATTATGTAAAGCAAAAATGTTAAAAGTTAAAACTGCAAAGAAATTTTTTATAGGAAAATATATATAATATAAAAATTTGTTTGATTAAGTTAAAAAAAATTATTTTACTAATGAAAAACAAGAGAATCAGTGTTATTAATAATTTAATAACACTGAATCTCTTTTGTTTTTGCGAGTTGTCCTGTGCCACCGGACGATTATAAGAGTACATTCCTGACATATATACATGTATGTATGTATATGCATATTAGATCATGTGTCAGCTTTTTTTTATTAAGTTTGGTAAAATTATATAATGCATTATGTAAATGCACAAAAAATTTCTAATTTCAGTCTTTATCAATGAAACATAGTGTAAAATGAAAAAAAATTTGATAAGTGTATATATATATATATATATATATATATATATATATATATATATATATATATATATATATATATATATATATATATATATATATATATATATATATATATATATATATATATATATATATATATATATATATATATATATATATATATATATATATATATATATATATATATATATATATATATATATATATATATATATATATATATATATATATATATATATATATATATATTAGGGTGATTCATATTTGACGAATTTTCGAAAATCAAGTTGGTCCTACCTGGAATGGTTGACCACCAATATAAAAATAATTTTAAGCCCAAAAATTTTAATGTCACGTGACTTTAAAGGTCCCCGCCGGTCAAATTTGTGTACAAAAACGTATCAAACTTTAGTGGTCTGGCGGGGACCTTTAAAATCAACTCAGAAAGCCAACTTTTCTTTTATATGGTATATTTTGGACTATTTATTTATAATAGAGTAGGACCAAAATGAAATATGGTGGTATTTATTCCACATAGTGTGGAGAAAGTGACGAAAAAAACGAATTTTTACATAAAATGACGCACCACTACGTATAACTGATGCTTGTTCATTTTTCATTTTTAGGCCGAATTTTGAAAAATAATGTTAGGACTAAGCATTAATAATGTTTATATAGAAGGGGCATGTCAATAGCTATCCGCCCCCTCACCCTATTTTCGGAGATGTCTCCCCCCTCCCTCCCCCCCTATACTTTGTTTGTTGGAGACGGGAGGGGGGGGCAAGCAAATTTATTTAAATTTTATTGTAAATCATATTATTTAAAATCACTTTATTTTCTTAAAAAAAAATACTTCACTTGGCAATATAAATATTAAAATCGTGATATGTAAACATAATAAAATATAATGCAATAGTTAAATATAATATATAAATCATGTTATTTTTTTTCTCTTCTTGCATATTGCTTTATATGCTAGCTGCAACTGTTCCTTGGTTCCTGACCCACGGAGCTGATCTTGTCTTTGCTGCACAGCTAGTAAAAGTTCTTGACAATCATCCTCGTTGTGAACATTATTCACAAACTCTAATACAAGTTTTACAGCCCTTTCAGAACTATCGTTCACTACTTCAAGTTTACTTACAAAATTGGAGAATGTTTTGAACTGGTCAACATAGCACCACATAGGAGCAGGAGAGTTTAACCAAAGTTTGTCCTCCATTCTTGTCAGGTTTAGCAAACTGAAGATGAACCAAGAGTTCTCTCCGATTAATCGAGCAAGACCAGGACTTGCTCGATTAATCGGAGAGAACTTCTTGTTTAAAATTTAACTCTTTGATCAAGTTTGACTTCTCTGAATGCTGAAAATGATCAGGAACTGGTATGGAGAATAATGTTTTTGCAATGTTTTCTCTCTCCACATTAAAAAGGTCAGGGTCTAGGAGAGCAAGTGGAACTAAAGTTTCATCTAAGTACCAGGTGTGTCTCTTCATTGACATCATTGTGCTTTTAATTCCGTTTAGAACTCTCTTGGAATCAGCGTTGTGTTTCTCTACATGTTCTTTGTACTGCACCATTTGCCAATAAGCTTTTACATCTTGAAATGGTGCAGCTGATGGTAATGAGGTTCTCAGAAACCAGACAGAATAGAAAATCGAGATAAATTCTGCCATTGCCTTTAACTCTTTCCTTTGGGAAACAGTCAAATCATAGGGCAGATGTGTACTCAATATCTGAATTTTCAAGTAGTAAATGGCTTTTGACAGCTCCAGTTCCATGCTCCATAGCTGGAATTCCAAGAAGCTTAATGTCTCCATCAATATTAACTGAAACAACAAACCTGTCTCTTTTTTCTTTTTTCCCATTAGTGAAATCTTCTATAATTTTTCCATCAAAGTGAGCTATTATGGGGAAAAGTGCTTTCTCAGCAGCTTTTTTAACCTCCCTTTTGTGCTGTGCAGCATTTTGATGGATGGTTTTCTTTTGTGCTCGCCAAATAGTTGATTGAGACAGTAAAAAGTTTTCAACATTTCCACCTGAATTAACAACCAAATCTGTACACACATGCAACAAATCTCTAGAGGAAATATTTTTGGAAACTGAAGTCATGGCAATATCTTGTACAAAATTCTTGGCTAACTGCGACGTATCATTACTTGGACCTGGCTGTTCGAAATCAAAAGAATAATGAGTCCATGCTGGTACTTGTATCACTAGTTTCAGAAGAAAACTGAAGCTCTGTAGTCAAATCATCTCTCTGAGAAAACTGTTCAACACTATGTACTAACTGTGGATGTTTCAATCTTCTCTGTTCTCTCTTCTCAACCCTCCGGTTATATAGCTTGTCTTTTTTACCCAGAGTCATTTTACGTCTGGCCTTTTGATCTCTCAAAAATTTCATATCAGTACGATACGAGACCTTATTAAGGCTTGTCTTCTTTAGAATATCTTGGATATTTGGTTTAGCAATCCAGAAAACCTTATTTCCTTTTTTTTTGAAATCTTGTCTAGCTTTTCCTGCTTCTTTCGAGTTCTTACACTTACTTTTCTTTAAACTCTCCCAGCTGTTGATCAGATCAGTGATATGCTTCCTATAATAATATATAACTGGTTTAGAAAATATTGTATTATCCAAAATTTTTGTAGTGTATTTTATGGTAACCTGTCCATAAAATATGAATTAAATTTTGT